TTCATTAGTTACAGGACCTCATTACAATACCTTCTCTTGGAATAGACTAACAGTCCATTTAGTTCATTGGAAATAAATTTTTAAAAAAGTTTTAATTTCTTTAAATTGGAAATTTCATGTTTGGTTGGTAAGAAAATTTTCCCATGGTGTTTCAATAGGATCCCTTTAGTATTTTAATTTCCACATCAGCAAAGAATAAGTAAGCATATTAAGACAATATTGTTACTATTAAAATTATATTTATTCCTTTCAAAAAAAATATATTGTTGGGTAAAAAAGGTGGAAAATCCCAAAATAATAATTCTACAGAAAAATTATTATTATATGAAAAAACAGAAAACTAGGAAGGAAAAGGTGGAGTGTTTGGATATAGGTTTAGCACGAGTTCGAACACAAAGTTATTTTTCTTAAAACCTTATTTGCTACCTCCCACAAGTGCTAGGAGCGTTGTAGCCTAGGTTTCCCAGAATAAAACGTGCTACAATTCTTTGTTTAAGAACCTAAACAAAGAACCCGGCAAACAAAACAAAGTAGTGAACACTGTTGGCTAAAGAAGAGAGTAGAAGCAGAGTTTTGGTGCTGAAAACTTACCGGAACTCCTCGTGCCCGCAAGTGAGCTCGGGCTTGAATCAAGCCTTTTCGATCTCTTCTAGTTGGAATTTGATTTGTCCCTCCAAAGGTTAAAGTTTTGTTCTGGCAAGCCTGTGCTAAATGCCTCCCAATTAGAGATCTGCTTCGCGTAAAGAGAGTTAGTTGTGAATTTGTGATGTTCATTGCCCAATCCGTGACATTGGTATTGAGTCTGCTTATCATCTTTTTGTGGAATGTAATTTAGCTAATGAATGTTGGAATAGATTGGGAATGCAACTGTTGCGTATGAGGGAGCCCCTCTTCCATGAATGGTTTAACCACAATTTTCCCAAGTTGAGTAAAGATCAATGCTGCCGCTTAATCATGGGTTACTGGGAAATTTGGAAGCACAGAAACAACAAAGTTTGGCAGAAACGGCTGACTCTATCCTAACCAAAGCTCAGAACTTCTTGGCAAACTGGAGAGAAGCAGCTAAAACCACTTACTCCAGTCCGTCTGAAATCTGAATCTAGTGCTCATCATGCCAAATGGACAAAACCTTAGCAAGGCTTCTTAAAACTTAATGTTAATGCGACTATTGACAAGGAGGGTGGTATGATAGGCTTTGGCCAGGCCTAGTCCAAACATTTTAAAGGTCCGAGGCGAAAATTAAAAAAATGACTCATATATGAAAAACTAAAATTTAAGTTTAATAATAATAAAAAAAATGACAATATCAAATAACATGAAATAAAATTAGAAAAATTCAACAATTTTTTAAATACAAAAATATTAATGACAAAAAATTTCTAAGTGTTTTACTCGATGCAAAATCATCAATAATTGCATCAACATTAATATTCTCTAGCATATCCTTCTCAATACACAAAATCTTTAAACCATTCAATCTTTCTTGTGACATTGAAGATCTCAAGTAGGTTTTCAATAACTTCAATTTTGAAAAACTTCTCTCCGCTGATGCTACAGCCATGGGTATCGTCAATAATATTCGATAAGCAATAGATATCATTGGGTAGCAATCCGCAACTTTGACAAAATCAAGAATCTCAATTGATGACATTAACGTTTCTGGCAAAGTCATATGTAAAACTTTTAATTCAAAGAAAAGATCATCAGAATCAACATCAAACATATCATTATGAGAAAAAGTAATTGCAAAATTATTGCAACATTCTTTTAGTTTATTATTATCCAATGACTTCAATATTTTTGAATTGTATAAAAATCCAAAAATATTTTCAAATATTTTAGTTGCTCAAATATATTATTCAATGAAAAAATTTCCATATCCACATGTTTTGAGTAAGTAACCATTTTAGATCACTAGTTTCTTCATTACTCAACTTTCTAGTATAATGAGCATATGAAAAATGCCTAGAGTTATTATCAAAAAGAAACACAATATTTAATTCTCTTATAGGTCCCTTTTCAACTAAAATATCTTTTGATTTATTATCAAGATTAGACCAATTTCTAGGGTCATAAATATCAAAATGAGGAGTAATTTGTTCATCAACCAATATATTTTTAACATTATTCTCATTTGATAAATTATCATGTTCACCCAAAGGACTATTATTAATTACATTATCATGTCCACTCAAATTACTAATATCCTCGCCAATGATCTTGATTACTCAAATTTTCATTAGATTGATCAAGACTATCCACGTTTGGTCTTTCTAAATTTTCTTTAGAGGATCCTATTATTTTAATAGATTTATTCATAGCTCCTCTTTGTGAATCTATAAACTGCTCAACTTTTTTTTTTTCTCTTTTCACTTCCAGATGAATGTTTATTAGGCAACATTATATAAAAAGAACTATTATAATTAAAACTGATCTTAACCAAAAAAAAAAAAAAAAAAAAAAAAAAAAAAAAAAAAAAAGAGAAGAAGAACGGGAACAAAATCACCTGGCACGTATGAATCAGTCAATCTAAAATCTTTATTTCTACCAGTAGGCAACACGTAAACATGTGCCTTCAGTCCCTGCATAAATAAATGAAATTATAACATATAAGTCAATGGCCAATTAATTCTGAGTAAATGCCAATATTTTTTGAACATGAACAGGAGCAATCCACAATTAATTTTGCATATGACATTCTAATAGACACCATTTTACTTTGAGAATTATTAAGGAATAGATATAGTTGGGCTTAAATAGTTAAACTTATTAATTACAATTACATTGTAAGTAGAAAACTAGGAATTTAAATCCCCAATAAGTAATAACTTATAGTTTTCAATTTTCAAATCCCAATTCTGCAAATTCTTCTGCAATATTTCCAATTCTGAAAACCTAATAACTTGTAGTTTTCACTTTTCAATTCTACAAATTCCTAAATTTCTAATACAGTAATACAATACATTATACATGCTGGCATTCTACAATTATTCAAATCCCAAATCCCAATTCCCAAATCATAGACTTTTCAACAATACAGTTAACAATACGGCCTAATTCCCAAATCATAGTTTTCAAAAATAAAAAAATCTCAAATCATAAAATACCTTTGGCTTTGCAAATTAAAATTGTAGACCGGAGTGGTGAAGGCGCGGCAATTCCCGACGAATAGGACCGACTAACTGGAGTGACCGGCGATTATCGATGAGTGTTGATGATATTGGTAGAATCGGTAGATTTGCATAGAAGATTTGTTATTTAATTTGTGGATTATGAAAGTAGATTGTTGAATGAATGGTTGTGACTTCACTTTTCTTCGATTCTTCCCAAATCTTATGTCTTTTCGACTTCGATCAGAAGGCATCCAGTCAATAGTAATTAAATAATTTTTTTTAATGTATCATAAGAAATATATATTATATATATAATATATAATCCTTTATATAATAAAGCTATATGGTTTGGGAAATAATTAATGTTACAATTAATGCCACAACATCCTTTATTATAAAAAAAAAAAAAAAAAAAAAAAAAAAAAAAAAAACACAACATTTAAAAAATAAAATAGCTATATATTATATAATCATATAAAAATATACTTTTGAAAAATAAAATAGCTATATATTATATAATCATATAAAAAATGTGTTCAATTAGAGTTTAAATTTACACATACAAAATTTAAAATTTGCTTTCCAAATGTAATTATTTTGGTTAGTATTCGTAATGTGAAAATTATAATATAGATGAAATACAATTAAGAATAAATCAATATAATTATGTAAATTATCTCTATAAGTTTATTTGAATATGCACATAATTAGAGATTATATTAACCATACAAAATTATAATTATAATTTTAATTTTAATTTTAATTTTAATTTTAATTTTAATTTTGTATTCTATAAAAATAATAAATACTTGACCAATGGAACCTCAAAAATATTATTATATTAAATAATTTAAAATATTTTAGTTTTCTATTTTTTATTTATGTTTATAATAACATAATTTTTTTCCGTGCATCGCGCGGGTGATTACTAGTATATTAATATATCATAGGGTCTATGAGGCCCCCTCTAGAGATGGGCCCTGGGCAAGGGCCCAGCCTGCCCTTGCTCCAAGGTCGGCCCTTGCTTTTGCAGTGTATTAAGGGACGACAACGGAAATTTTATTGCAGCCAGGGGTCTAATGGAGTGGAGCATATGTACCAAGGGACGTAGAGGCAATGGCAATAAAAGAAGCCTTGAGTTACAGTGAAACGGACTCTCTCCAAGTAGTTCAATTTCTCAATTCTATTAGAGGAGACTTTGTGTTTCATTTTATCCTTAGGGATATTGAACACTTAATGAGTCAATTCTCTCATGTGTTTGTTTCTTTTACCAAACAATCAGCGAACTGGCCAAACCACATGTGGGTCAATTTTGACAAGTCTGGTTATTCAGAGTGGTTCTCCAACCCTTCACCCCACATGTTAACTAGGCAGTCTGTTTGTTGTTCAGAGTGGTTCTCCAACCCTCCGCCCCACATGTTAACTAGGCAGTCTGTTTCTATGTCTGGTTGTTCAAAGTGATTCTCTAACCCTCCACCTATCATTTGTAATGTTTGTCTTCAGACTTGATTTAATATATTCTCGTTTTTAAAAAAAAAAAAAAATTATCAATTATTGTTCTAATCGATGCAATCTTATCACGCACTCACCTAAAAATTGGAGATCTCAATATAATCTTGTCAGCTCATCAATTGGAGAAGCTTTCACAGTGAAAACGCACAAAAAAGGATCTTTTCTCAACAATGGGAATACAAGGATGGGGAATAAAGAGGGTGCACTACTAATGGCACCAAACCCATCTTAACACCTTTTGCCACATTATGTTTTGGTTAAGATGTCGCATCATCTCCTCATACTTTCTCCACAATTCTTTGCTGTTTTCCCATTTGATTGAACAATTTCATCTTCTTCTCAGAAATCAATATACAATCAATTTAAATACCTTTGTAGTTGCAGATGTAAACTACATATGAATTTTCGAAGATTACACGACGTTACAATGATGATTTTTACCTATTCAAATTAAAATTAAAATTAAAATCCTATGGTAGAAGTAAAAAAAAAGAGAATGAAACAAAATAGTTTCACTATTATAAACCAAATAACAAACAATACCCTTACTTGATTATCAATTTCACAGAAAAGCATCCCCAAATCATTCAATAATTCATTTCTAATCCACGAAACCTACCTAAAGCTTAAATCAAATTATCCCCAAACAATCCCCCCTTCCCCCCTTTCTCTGCTGGGGCACCATAGCTTTGATTTCCCGCCGTTTGGATTTTTTTTTTTTTTTTTGGGTTTGATTCCCGATTTCTTCACACCTTTAGAATCTTAGCAGCTCGGACCACCGGATTTTCCCTCGCAATCGCCTCGCGTCCGGCGGCTTTGTAATCGAAGGTGCAGTCGTGGCGATCCGAGTACCTGTGCTCGGAACAGAACACCTCGCCGCACCGGCATCGGAAGCCGATCAGCCCGACTTTCCGTCTGCACCCGTCCCCGGAGCACCGGTTGACTTCTCTCGGCCTCTTCAAGGGACGATTCACCGCTTCCGCTTCCGCTTCCGGCCTCTTCGGAGGAGAAACGACCGGATCGGACCTCTCCGGCGACCTCGCGGCACCAGATCTCGAATCATCAGCATCGGAATCCTTCGGATCTGATCTCGCGGAGCTACCGGCAGACGACGAAGCCGCCGCCTGCGCTTGATCATCGGCGCCTGAGAGCTGCGGAGACACCGGAATCGTGGGAACGCATACGGATATGGTCTTGGGAAGCTTGAGCTCGGTTTCTTCTTTCTCCCGTTGATGAGCCATGGATTGTAGAGAGAGAAAGCTGTAAAGGAGAATTCTAGAGAGATAGAGGGGAAGGGCGTGTTTGGTTGTCTCGAGCGAGAGAGAGGAAAATAGAGAGTCGCAGAGTCGCAGGCAGAATGGGGTTTGATAAGTCGGTAAAGGTGGGCTATGGAATGCACATCATTGATTTGGGGAAACTGAGATTACCGAAATGCCCCTATGACTTACTGTTATTACGATGTTGATGTTCACAAAGCATCGGCGTTTTTAAATCATCGGTGACGTGTAGCTTCGTGGGCTGAGGGAGCGATGGGACGCTTTTGTCCTTTTCTCCATCTCAAGCTACGCAACAAGAGCCACATAAAATGCACCACGGCTTAGCTGTCAAAATCGGAATTTACATCTAATTAGCTCGTCTCTCTTCCATGCATCAACCTAAACGCCAATATTTAATATATATCAAAAATAATTAATTAGCTGAATTGATACTTGAAATTATTCAATTACTTGCCATAATAATTGATACTCATTTATTAGTTTTGTTCATTGTACATGCTTGCATGAACTAATTAAAATAATAATTATTATTATTATCAATACTACTATTATTAAAAAAAATAAAAATTTTAACTTTATGCCCAAACATTTAATAATAATAAGATTAGCAGTAAAAAGAAAAAAATCCATAATTCGAGAAACCATAAATTCCATAATGGTCTAAAATTATTTCTACATGTTATTTTACTATTTATTGAACTGTTAGAGTCTATAGGGCTGTTAGACTATCTACAAAGTAGTTTCCACTTTTCATGTTATTGTCTCTGTATAAATAGCTGCTCAGTTCTTCGTGAATAAATGTATAAAACCATTTTTTATATAAATCATCTTGTATCAGCCAAATCCACGATCCCATGGCCAGTGAACAAAACCCACCCATTCCAGCCGCGGATTCTGCCTCCGCCGGCGGCTCTGCTGCCATCACAGCCATCCCGGAAACTCGCCACACGAACAATCTCCACCAAGCTCACCATTTTGTCTCTATAAAGCTTTCTTCCTTCAATTACCTTTTCTGGAAAGCTCAACTCGTCCCTTTTCTCCGAGGCCAGAGTTATTTTGGCTATGTCGATGGATCCAGTGTATGCCCGCCGGAATACGTCACCACCACGACAGAAGCAGCTGCCCGAACGATGAACCCTCTTCACGCCGTTTGGGTGCAACAAGATCAATCGATCCTCAGCATGCTTATTTCATCAATGGCGGATGACGTTCTATACCTGGCGATTGGTCATCTCACGTCTCGTTCCCTGTGGATGGCCATCGAAACGGCATTAGGTTCCACTGCCCGAGCGCGCTCCCTCAGCTTACTTACACAGCTACAAAGCTTGCGCCAAGGAAATGCATCGCCGGCGGTGTATCTCGGCAAAGCCCAAGTCTTGGTCGAGCAGCTTGCACAGGGGGGCGCCCTATCAGACTGGACGAACAAAACCTCCACGTCTTTCGTGGTCTTCGTCCAGAATATCGGAGTTTGGTTGCATCCCTCACGACGAAGAGTTCTCCTCTGACGATCCCGGAAGTTGCAGATTTATTGTCTACACACCAGTATTTGTTCCCAGAAGAGTCGTCTGTGGCGCTGCCTCCGTCGTCGGCGGCTATAATGGTTCACCAACCACCATCTCCGACTTACAACCGGGGTCGTGGTCGTGGTAATAGAGGTAACCGGGGAAAAGGACATCGCGGCGGTCGTAGCGGCGTCAGGTGTCAACTCTGTGACACCGACACCGCTGGCCATACGGCGTTAACTTGCTACCGCCGGTTTGTTGATCCGTCCGGCGTGCAGGTTCATTCCTCTCACACCAATGTTCATGCCGCACCGCCGCTGCAAGCCCATATGGCCTCCCAACATCCGCAGGAAGACTTCCATTCCGCCCCTTTTTCCAACACTTGGTTCCCCGACACTGGAGCTAGTGCTCATGCAACACCGGACACAACTGTCTTAAACCATGTCGAGCCTTACATAGGTGATGAGATTCTCTGAGTAGGGGATGGTACAGGTCTGTCGATTCAAAATACAGGTTCTTTTTCTCTCCCTTCTATGTCACGGTCACTGTTTCTACATAATGTTCTGCACGTACCTAAATTGCGTGCTTCACTTCTTTCTGTTCAACAATTTACTTGTGAAAATGGTGTTTACTTTGAATTTCACCCGAGTTATTTTGTTGTGAAGGACCATACCACCCAGCAAGTTCTTCTTAGTGGTCCTAACCAAGGAGGTATATACTCACTCCATGCCTCCCCGGTTGCGTTTGTCTCAGCTAAAACATCCCCACAAACCTGGCATAACCGCCTCAGGCACCTGCATAATCAAGTGTTGCGTCGGTCCTTTCAAGTTGTCCCGTTTTAGGTTCTTTCCATTCTATTAATAACCTTTGTACTGCATGCTAGATGGGAAAATCTGCACGATTTCCCCTACCCCACATTACAAGTTCTAGTAAGTCTGTATTAGATTTAATTTTTACAGACATTTGAGGTCCTTCTCCGGTTCCCTCAATAGATGGTCATAGGTACTTTGTCTTGTTCGTTGATGACTACTCGCATTATGTCTGGTATTACCCAATGAAGCTAAAAACAGATATATATGCAATATTCAATGTATTCCATGCTTCTGTTGAAAAGTATTTTTCCAAGTCAATAAGATCTATTCAATCAGACATGGGCGGTGAATACCGTAAATTGCACTCGGTTTTCTCCGCCGCAGGCATTTCCCATAGATTATCATCACAACACATTCACGAACAAAACGGGCGCATGGAACGAAAACATCGCCACGTGGTTGAAACTGGACTAGCCCTACTGGCTCAAAGTCATGTCCCGAAAAAGTATTGGGTCTATGCGTTCGAGTTAGCAGTTTATCTAATCAATCGTTTACCAACCACAGTCACACAAAGGGTCAGTCTGTATTATCTCTTATACAACAAGTCTCCTAATTATTCCTATTTAAGAGTCTTTGGGTGTGAATGTTTTCCATGCTTACGTCCTTATAACAGACACAAAATGGACTATAGGTCCACTGCGTGTGTGTTTTTGGGATATCCAGATTCTCTACTTAGATACATGTGTTTGGACAGAAGTACAGGCCGAGTTTACATGGCGAGGCACGTGCGCTTCAATGAAAGTGTCTTCCCTTTTGCAACAGTACGGGAAGAAAATGCATGTGCCACTGGTGATGTCACACCTGCCATGCCCTGGGCATCTGCACATCTACACAGACTCCACCGCCAACACAGTCGTCCCCGCCAGCCTTGCTTGCTGTCCAGCCACCACCCACGGCAGTGCAACCAGCCGCCAACATCAACCCAACCTCATCGTCCACGGCGGCCCCAGCCACGACGTCCTATCATCCGTCGACGTCTTCAACCATCACCACCAGGCGCCGGCGCACGGTGCGTCCCACTGTCCGTACGCACCTGATGCAAATGCGGCAAACCATTAATGCACGACAACGGCCGACAGCTCTGGTGGCCTCCGTTGACGACGTGCCATTCGCAAGCTGTGAAAAGTTCGCATTGGCGAGCTGCGATGGACTCAGAATTCAACGCTTTTTTACAAAACAAAACATGGTGTTTAGTTCCCTCCCCCCCCCCCCCCCCTGAAGTAATATGAACATAATCGGTTGTAAATGGGTGTTTCGCGTCAAGCGAAAGTCCGATGGGTCTATTGAGCGATACAAGGCTCGCTTAGTCGCCAAAGGGTTCAACCAAATTCCCGGCGAAGATTATCGCGAGACATATAGTCCCGTGGTCAAACCGACTACAATCAGACTCCTTCTGGCTTTTGCAGTGTCAAATAAATGGGTTATGCATCAGTTGGACGTTCATAACGCCTTTCTAAATGGACATATCAACGAAGATATCTACATGCGCCAACCATCGGGGTACTCAAATCCCTCAGTGCCTGATTATGTGTGTAAATTGCAACGCTCGTTATATGGGCTAAAACAAGCCCCGCGGGCATGGTTCAAGCGGCTGCACGATTATCTGTTGCAAATTGGGTTTCATGCCTCTAAAACCGATGTATCCCTGTTTATTTTTAAGTCTGGGTCAGCACGAGTATACGTCCTTGTCTACGTGGATGATATACTCCTGCTTGGCAATGATTCTAACATAATTGACAGGTTTATGAAACAACTTTCATCCGCGTTCAAGATTCGGGATCTTGGAGTCCCTAGTTTTTTCCTTGGCGTCGAAGCAACGTATCATGCGAACACTGTTATGTTTGTTAGTCAGTGTTACATTTGTATTATTATTGTAACATAATATTAGTTTGAGCTATAGTTGATTTAGTCCTTAACTACTTATCTGATGTATAGGACTAGTTGGTTAGGCTTAGACTTCCAGGTCTATTGTATCTCTTAGTTGTGTTACGTTGATTGAATACATTGCACATTCATCTGGTATCATACGCTCAGGTGATCCTTTTCTCTCTCCTCCAAAACAGACATGTCGACTAATTCCAGTGAGTGCACGGTGAGTGCAGCCGTGACGTCGTCGACAACCCCCACCAACCTCACTACCGCCCACCACCTTGTCTCCCTCAAACTCACGACCAAAAATTATTTATTTTGGCGTACTCAGCTAATACCGTTCCTATGCGGGCAAGGCTTGCTCGGCTATGTCAGTGGCGACACCCCATGTCCGGCTGTGTTGATTCTTCCGCCGGCGACCAGTGACGCAAGCTCCGGTGCAGCGCCGTCTACTCCGACCCCCAATCCGGCGTATGGCTTTTGGATCCAACAAGACCAAAGCATACTGTCGCTCCTTATCTTGTCCTTATCGGACGAAGTTATGTATCTCGCGGTGGGCAGAGATACATCCCGGGCGGTGTGGACGTCGATCACTTCGGCGTTAGGATCGTCGACGAGGGCAAGGTGCTTAAATCTTCTTGCGCAGTTTTAGAGTCTCTGTCAGGGAGACAGCTCGCCCGAAGAATACCTTGGACGGGCGCAACTGATCGTAGAGGACTTAGCGCTAGCCGGCCGACCGGTGTCACTCGACGAGCAGAACCTCTACGTCTTCCGAGGGCTCAGGCCAGAATTCCGGTCAATGGCGTCTTCTCTAGCTGCCTCAGGTAACCCAGTCACCATTCCCCAACTCGCCGATTTCCTACAGGCTCAAGAGTTCATATGGGCCGAGGATTTTCTGCCGGCGGGTGGCGTGCCGGCGGCGTTGCATCAGGCGCTGCATACTGGCAGAGGGCAGCGCGGTTCAGGTTCTGGAGGTGGATCGCGTGGCTCAGGTTCTGGAGGTGGCGGACGAGGCCGGAACGGCAGAGGAGGCCGTGGTGGC